CACATGGACGTTGAAGTAGACCACCATAAGGAAACTTCACTCGTCACAGACTGCTGGAACTATTTGTCCTAGCCAGCTAACTATGGCCTGCGATGGGATGTTGGAACTTGCACTTCCGCAGCAACTGGAAAGCCACAGGGTTGCCTCAGCTTGCAGTGGAAGTAATATAAGCCCTTCTAGGTTTCATCCATGTGTTCAAAGCTTAACACCTAAGCAGCCGTTACCACTGCCCTTTCATGGTTAAAACTTTGGATTCCTGCCCAGAACTTATTTTTTGGCTCTGCTGGATTGGTGTCACAAGCAGTAAAGCCAGACTGAATTTCTCTTTTTCAACCACAGATGTAGCAGATGGTCTCTGATTTAAAGATCACAAAGGAAGAGGTGCCAACTCGTACTCTAACAAGGCTGTGATGCCATCCACTCTACTAAAGTCTCTAACCTGCTTAGAGCAGCAATAAGTGTGAAATGGGGAAAACGTTACTGAGAAGTCACTAGCTGAAGGTACAGGAATTCTACGAAGATTTGATTGCAACACACAGACTGGGAAGGGGGGAATTAAATCAGTCAATTTGTAGACATCTGGAAATTAAATTTCCTCCTTAATCCTTGGAAGCCAATACATATGTGAGAGAGCCCCACCCTACAGTAATATTAAACCTTCAGTTTTTTAAGCACTTTTAGCAGCTGGTTTGATCTCTTAGGTCAGTGATGGCGAACCCGTGGCACGCGTGCCACAGCCGGCACGCCGAGCCTTATCTTGGGCACGCCAGGGAGAATCCAGCGGCGCGCTGTCTTCCCGGCTGTAGTGTGCGTGACAGCCGGGTCCCAAGTGCGCGTGCACAAGAAGCAGTGCTCTTTGTGAATGGTAAGGCGGTACCTGGGACACATGACAGATCCCAGAAGCCGCCGGACCAATCACAAAGCGCAGCGCTTCTCGCGCATGCGCACTGGGCATCCGGCTCTCCGACGAGCGCCCACACTACAGAAGCTGGGGAAGACAGCGCGCGGCTGGATAAAGGAACAGGTAAGATAAAAAAAAAAAAAACTCTGCGGAAGTAAGAGCGGGTACCTGTCAAATTCAGGTACCCGCTCCCCCCTCCCTCCCCAAAGGTCAGCAGTCATCTCTGTACTGTCCGCAGTCTCTGGTCATCCCTGTGCTGTCCGCAGTCTCTGGTCATCCCTGTGCTGTCCGCAGTCTCTGGTCATCCCTGTGCTGTCCGCAGTCTCTGGTCATCCCTGTGCTGTCCGCAGTCTCCTGGTCATCCCCTGTACTGTCCCAGTCTTGGTCATCTCCTGTGCTGTCCGCAGTCTCTGGTCATCCCTGTGCTGTCCGCAGTCTCTGGTCATCCCTGTACTGTGTCCGCAGTCTCTGGTTCATCCCCTGTGCTGTCACGCAGTCTCTGGTCATCCCTGTACGGTGTCCGCAGTCTCTGGTCATCCTGTACTGTCCGCAGTCTCTGGTCATCTCCTGTACTGTGTCCGCAGTCTCTGGTCATCCCTGTACTGTGTCCGCAGTCTCTGGTCATCTCCTGTACTGTGTCCGCAGTCTCTGGTCATCCCTGTACTGTGTCTGCAGTCTCTGGTCATCCCTGTACTGTGTCCGCAGTCTCTGGTCATCCCTGTACTGTCCGCAGTCTCTGGTCATCCCTGTACTGTCCGCAGTCTCTGGTCATCCCTGTACTATGTCCGCAGTCACTGGTCATCCCTGTACTATGTCCGCAGTCTCTGGTCATCCCTGTTACTGTCCGCAGTCTCTGGTCATCTCCTGTACTTTCCGCAGTCTCTGGTCATCCCTGTACATGTCCGCAGTCACTGGTCATCCTGTACTGTGTCCGCAGTCTCTGGTCATCCCCTGTACTGTGTCCGCAGTCTCTGGTCATCCCTGTACTGTGTCCGCAGTCTCTGGTCATCCCTGTACTGTGTCCGCAGTCTCTGGTCATCCCTGTACTGTCCGCAGTCTCTGGTCATCTCCTGTACTGTCCGCAGTCTCTGGTCATCTCCTGTACTGTTCCCGCAGTCTCTGGTCATCTCCTGTACTGTGTCCGCAGTCTCTGGTCATCTCCTGTACTGTGTCCGCAGTCTCTGGTCATCTCCTGTACTGTCCGCAGTCTCTGGTCATTCCTGTACTGTCCGCAGTCTCTGGTCATCTCCTGTACTGTGTCCGCAGTCTCTGGTCATCCCTGTACTGTGTCCGCAGTCTCTGGTCATCCCCTGTACTGTGTCCGCAGTCTCTGGTCATCTCCTGTATGTGCTGTCCGCAGTCTCTGGTCATCCCTGTACTGTCCGCAGTCTCTGGTCATCTCCTGTACTGTGTCCACAGTCTCTGGTCATCTCCTGTACTGTGTCCGCAGTCTCTGGTCATCCCTGTACTGTGTCCGCAGTCTCTGGTCATCCCTGTACTGTGTCCGCAGTCTCTGGTCATCCCTGTACTGTCCGCAGTCTCTGGTCATCCCTGTACTGTGTCTGCAGTCTCTGGTCATCCCTGTACTGTGTCCTGCAGTCTCTGGTCATCCCTGTACTGTGTCCGCAGTCTCTGGTCATCCCTGTACTGTCCGCAGTCTCTGGTCATCTCCTGTACTGTGTCCGCAGTCTCTGGTCATCTCCTGTACTGTGTCCGCAGTCTCTGGTCATCCCTGTACTGTGTCCGCAGTCTCTGGTCATCCCTGTACTGTCCGCAGTCTCCTGTACTGTCAGTCTCTGGTCATATCCCTGTACTGTGTCCGCAGTCTCTGGTCATCCCTGTACTCTCCGCAGTCTCTGGTCATCCCTTGTACTGTGTCTGCAGTCTCTGGTCATCCCTGTACTGTGTCCGCAGTCTCTGGTCATCCTGTACTGTGTCCCGCAGTCTCTGGTCATCCCTGTACTGTCCGCAGTCTCTGGTCATCCCTTGTACTGTGTCTGCAGTCTCTGGTCATCCCTGTACTGTGTCGCAGTCTCTGGTCATCCCTGTACTGTGTCTGCAGTCTCTGGTCATCCCTGTACTGTGTCTGCAGTCTCTGGTCATCCCTGTACTGTGTCCGCAGTCCTCTGGTCATCCCTGTACTGTCCGCAGTCCTCTGGTCATCCTGTACTGTCCGCAGTCTCTGGTCATCTCTGTACTGTTCCGCAGTCTCTGGTCATCTCCTGTACTGTGTCCGCAGTCTCTGGTCATCTCCTGTACTGTGTCCGCAGTCTCTGGTCATCTCCTGTACTGTGTCCGCAGTCTCTGGTCATCTCCTGTACTGTGTCCGCAGTCTCTGGTCATCCTCCTGTACTGTGTCCGCAAGTCTCTGGTCTTATCCTGTACTGTCCGCAGTCTCTGGTCATCCCTGTACTGTCCGCAGTCCTCTGGTCATCCCGTGACTGGTCTTCCGCAGTCTCTGGTCATCCCTGTACTGTGTCCGCAGTCTCTGGTCATCCCTGTACTGTCCGCAGTCTCTGGTCATCTCCTGTACTGTGTCCGCAGTCTCTGGTCATCCCTGTACTGTGTCCGCAGTCTCTGGTCATCCCTGTACTGTCCGCTGCAGTCTCTGGTCATCCCTGTACTGTGTCTGCAGTCTCTGGTCATCCCTGTACTGTCGCGCAGTCTCTGGTCATCCCTGTTACTGTCCGCAGTCTCTGGTCATCTCCTGTACTGTGTCCGCAGTCTCTGGTCATCCCTGTACTGTGTCCGCAGTCTCTGGTCAATCTCCTGTACTAATGTGTCCCGCAGTCTCTGGTCATCCCCGTACTGTGTCCGCAGTCCTCTGGTCATCTCCTGTACTGTGTCCGCAGTCTCTGGTCATCCTCTGTAGCTGTGTCCGCAGTCTCTGGTCATCCCTGTACTGTGTCCGCAGTCTCTGGTCATCCCTGTACTGTCCGCAGTCTCTGGTCATCCCTGTACTGTGGTCCGCATCCTCTTGTCATCCCTGTACTGTGTCCGCAGTCTCTGGTCATCCCCTGCTACTGTGTCCGCAGTCTCTGGTCATCCCCTGTACTGTCCGCAGTCTCTGGTCATCCCTGTACTGTCCGCAGTCTCTGGTCATCCCTGTAAATTAGTTTGCACTACTGTACGAGTTGTTCTTTTCTAAACCAAAAGCTCGATATTCAGGTTTCATTGCAGTGTTGGCACTACTTGAAAGAAATAAGTTGGTTTTGGGTTGCAGTTTGGGCACTCGGCTGCGCAAAAGGTTCGCCATCACTGTCTTAGGTCAACTCACACTTGTGTTTAGTAGGTATTTTTCTGCTTTATTCAGTGTAGGGCAGCCCATTCTCCCGTTGAAAGTGTTACAAAACACGTGACCCTGCATTCACTATATCTGGTCTCCCCAGACCCCGCATTCACTATATCTGGTCTCCCTGGACCCCGCATTCACTAATATCCGGTCTCCCCGGACCCTGCATTCACTATCTGGTCTCCCAGGACCCTGCATTCACTATATCTGGTCTCCCCAGACCCCGCATTCACTATATCTGGTCTCCCAGGACCCTGCAGTCACTATATCTGATCTCCCAGGACCCTGCATTCACTATATCTGGTCTCCCCGGACCCTGCATTCACTATATCTGGTCTCCCCTGGACACCCTGCATTCACTATATCTGGTCTCCCCGGACCCTGCATTCACTATATCTGGTCTCCCTGGACCCTGCATTCACTATATCTGGTCTCCCAGGACCCTGCATTCACTATATCTGTCTCCCCGGATTCACTATATCTGGTCTTCCCGGACCCTGCATTCACTATATCTGGTCTCCCCGGACCCTGCATTCACTATATCTGGTCTTCCCGGAACCCTGCATTCACTATATCTGGTCTTCCCGGACCCTGCATTCACTATATCTGGTCTCCCTGGACCCTGCAGTCACTATATCTGGTCTCCCTGGACCCTGCATTCATTATATCTGGTCTCCCAGGACCCTGCAGTCACTATATCCGGTCTCCCCGGACCCTGCAGTCACTATATCTGGTCTCCCAGGACCCTGCATTCACTATATCTGGTCTCCCCAGACCCTGCATTCAATATATCTGGTCTCCCCGGAACCCTGCATTCACTATATCTTGTCTCCCAGGACCCTGCATTCACTATATCTGGTCTCCCCAGACCCTGCATTCACTATATCTGGTCTCCCTAGACCCTGCATTCACTATATCTGGTCTCCCCGGACCCTGCATTCACTATATCTTGTCTCCCAGGACCCTGCATTTACTCTATCTGGTCTCCTCGGACCCTGCATTCACTATATCTGGTCTCCCGGACCCTGCATTCACTATATCTGGTCTCCCCAGACCCTGCATTCACTATATCTGGTCTCCCCGGACCCTTGCATTCACTATATCTGATCTCCCCGGACCTGCATTCACTATATCTGGTCTCCCCGGACCCTGCATTCACTATATCTGGTCTCCCTGGATCCTGCATTCACTATATCCACTCTCCCTGGACCCTGCATTCACTATATCTGGTCTCCCCGGACCCTGCAATCCCTATATCCGGACTCCCTGGACCCTGCATTCACTATATCTGGTCTCCCCGTACTCTGCATTCACTATATCTGGTCTCCCGTACCCTGCATTCACTATATCTGGTCTCCCCGGACCCTACATTATTTTTAGTAAATATAAACTGCTAAATATCTTTCCTCATCAGCAGTATATAGCAGATCTTGTGATGTGAGCACTGGTTAATCTTGTAGGAGGGGTTTTCATTCTCCTCTGACTGTCCTATGAGGCTGCATGACCCTGACCCTCTGTTTGGACAGTGCTGATCGGACCTGTGCTGATCACATGGGAGGATCAGAGAGGACAGGATCAAACAGCATTTTTACATAATGCAAAGGACTAACCCCTTAGGTTCCACAGTGAGTATACCAAGCATGCTTTACTGCATATACAGACTAATTTTATTGTTGTGGGTTTAGTAACACTTTAATGTATTACTAAACCCAGAATCCTGTATTCACTATATCTGGTCTTCCACAATACACAGAACATGGAAAATGCAATCATTTTAGTAAATATAAACTGCTAAAAATCTTTTTCACCAGCCGTATATTACAGTGTCCAGCTGAGCACTGGTTAATCTTGTAAGAGGAGTTTTCATTCTCCCTGATTGTCCTATGAGGCTGCAGGACCCCTGACTAGCCAGTGCTGATTGGCCCTGTGTTGATGACATGCACTCTCCCAAGAAACAAAAAACTCTAGCAATACACACCAAACTGAGCATGTGCAGCTTGCCCTGAAAGGCTCTGTACTATCAGCAGATGGATTTGGGACTGTGGAAGAAGGGGAGGATCAGCGAAGTCAGGATCAAACATCCTTTTTACACAGTGCAGACTGATTTTATTGTGTGGGTTTAGTAACACTTTAACTAAAACACCCCACTGCAAGGATTACATGGTTTTTAGGTCTAGGGGATGTGGAAATACACTTTTTACTCCAACCCCAATTCCAAAAAAGTTTAGATCAGGGTGATATCAGAGGACCTTGGAGCGCCCGGACCACCTGCAGGAGCTGAGGGTCAGGTACAACCCCAGTTCCAAAAAAGTTGAGGAGCTCTATGAAATCTTCATAAAAACAGAATGCAGCGATCTGTAAGTCTCATTGACCCATGCTTTATATACAATAGAAAATAGAAACCATATCAAGTCTTTAACCACGTCGCCCAAGGATGTCCCTGTACGCCCTTGAGTTGCAGTGGTTATAACGGGATAATGCCTGCAGCTACATGCATCTTTTGGTATCTTTTTTTTTTTGCCATAGATTGTCCTGATGTAAAAGCAATCTTAGCTTGATCACCTTTACAGACAGCGAGAGGAGGTCCCCCCCTCCCACTGCCTTCTGCCCCATTCCTGCGCTCACCATCCCACTGGGGGGAACCCGGGATTGCAGCTGGTTGTTTCACCAGCTGACCATAGAGATAATCAAGGACCAGAAGGTCCCCCATGATCTCTATTGTCTAATAAACTTGAAGTGACAAGTATCTTGTCACTTCCTGTTTTGGCTTTGTGTTTACTGGTCGGGTGCTGGCCAGTAAAGCAGCCATGCATTCCGATCTGTGTCTGATCGGCTGCTTTGGAGGCTAGAGGAGCAATCTGGGGTCTAATAGAAAAGAAACAGTGTAAAAAAGGAATTTAACTAAAATAAATAATGAAAAATAAATAAATAAAAGCACTATATGGCACTGGACACTCTGCAGCAAGCTAGGGGGTACTAAGGGAAGCTGGCAGGCAATATGGGAGACTGAAATGCACGGCAAGGGGTGGGGGCACTGTGGGACACGTTTGGGGTACTGGTGGCATTGCAGCAAGCTAGGGGGTACTGAGGGAGACTTGCAGGCACTGTAGGAGAGAGCTGGGGGCAACTGTGGGAGATGAGGTCTGTGGAATGGACTGGGGTTTTTTAGGGCAACGTTAGAGACTGAAGGTCTGAACGACAGGGGTTGGGGGGCACTCTGGAACACGTTTGGGGCACTATGAGGTGCTGGAGGTTCTGCAGCAAGTTAGGGGGTACTGCTGAGGGGAACAATCAGAGGTTAAGGTACACTGTGGGGACTAAGGGGATCTCGGGGCCACTATAGGAGATTGGGTGGCACTTTGGGGAGCTGGGAGGAACTGTGGAAGGTTAGGAAATCTACAGCAAGCTGGAGGTTCAGGAGGAGAAAGGCCATGAGCCAGCAGAAGACTGGCCCAGTGGTTGTGGCCCACTGTAGTAGACCATTTGGCATGTACAGATCATCCATATAAAAGCATGAAACAAAATTAATAAATATAAAGGAAAATTACAGAACTCAGTAGTTTGTATGGCCCCCATGTGCTTGTATGCATGCCTGACAACGTCAGGGCATGCTCCTAATGAGATGACAGATGGTGTCCTGGGGTATTTCTTCCCAGATCTGGACCAGGGCATCACTGAGCTCCTCGACAGCCTGAGATGAATCGGGGTGGCATCAGATGGACCGAAACATGATATCCCAGAGGTGTTCTATTGGATTTAGGTCAGGCGAGCGTGGGAGCCATTCAATGGTATCAATTCCTTCATCCTCCAGGAACTGCCTGCATACTCTCGCCACATGAGGCTGGGCTTTGTCGTGCACCAGGAGGAACCCAGGACCCACTGCACCAGTGTAGGGTCTGACAATGGGTCGAAGGTTTTCATCCCCATACCTAATGGCAGTCAGGGTGCCATTGTCTAGCCTGTAGAGGTCTGTGCGTCCCTCCATGGATATGCCTCCCCAGACCATCACTGACCCACCACCAAAACGGTCATGCTGAACCATGTTACAGGCAGAAAAATTTTCTCAACGGTTTCTGCAGATCCTTTCATGTCTGTCACATGTGCTCAGGGTGAACCTGCTCTCATCTGTGAAAAGCACAGGGCGCCAGTGGCGGACCTGTCAGTTCTGGTGTTCAATGGCAAATGCCAGTCGAGCTCTATGGTGCCGGGCAGTGAGCACAGGGCCCACTAGAGGACATTGGGCCCTCAAGCCACCATCATGAAGTCTGTTTCTGATTGTTTGGTCAGAGACATTGACACCAGTGGCCTGCTGGAGGTCATTTTGTAGGGCTCTGGCAGTGCTCATCCTGTTCCTCCTTGCACAAAGGAGCAGATACCAGTCCTGCTGATGGGTTTTACGGACCTTCTCTGGCCCTGTCCAGCTCTCCTAGAGTAACTGCTTGTCTCCTGGAATCTCCTCCATGCTCTTGAGACTCTGCTGGGAGACACAGAAAAAAACCTTCTGGCAATGGCACGTATTGATGTGCCATCCTGGAGGAGTTGGACTGCCTGTGCAACCTCTGTAGGGTCCAGGTATTGCTTCATGCTACCAGTAGTGACACTGACCCTAGCCAAATGCAAAACTAGCGAAAAACAGTCAGAAATGATAGTAGGGGAAATAAATGTCAGTGGCCTCCACCTGTAAAACTATTCGTGTTTTGGGGGTCGTCTCATTGTTGCCCATCTAGTGCACCTGTTGTTAATTTCATTAATCCCAAAGCAGCTGAAACTGATTAACAACCCCCTCTGCTACTTAACTGACCAGATAAACATCCCAGGAGTTTCATTGACTTGATGCTAGACCAGCAATGGGCAAACTACGGCCCGGCGGACCTTTTAATCCGGCCTGAAGCGGAGCGTGATACAAAAAAAAAAACAGCCAGGGCAGTGCGCTCAAATGCAATGATTGGCCAGTCTCGCTGCCACTCACATCCTGATAGCCAGTGATTGGCTGTCACGATGTGTGTAGGCGGGGCAGCGTGACGAACGCGAGGGGAGCTAGGCTCCTCTCACAGTCCGCCCTGAAGACCGGAACGGCGCGGGAACACGGCGAGAAGAACGCGCGGAGCAAAGGTAAGTAAATTGACACAGGGGGGACTTGGCTTACTACTTGCTACTTACTTACTACTACTATATGGGGGATGAATTAATATGGGGGATGAATTACTATAGGGGGGATGAATTACTATATGGGGGATGAATTACTATATGGGGGATGAATTACTATATGGGGGATGAATTACTATGGGGGATGAATTACTATAGGGGGGATGAATTACTATATGGGGGATGAATTACTATATGGGGATTAATTACTATATGGGGGATTAATTACTATATGGGGGATTAATTACTATGCTTACTATGGGGGAATATTACTATACTTACTATGGATGGCATGGTAGTGGCTGGGCCGGCCAGCAGCTAGTCCGGCCCCCGGGTCCAATATATGAACCCATTGCGGCCCTCAAGTCAAAAAGTTTGCCCACCCCTGTGCTAGACTCTGACTAAAAAGTGTTTCTTTAATTTTTTTGAGCAGTGTATGTATATATATATATATATATATGTGTGTGTGTGTCTATATATATATATATATACTGTATATACAGTCAGGTCCATAAATATTGGGACATCGACACAATTCTAACATTTTTGGCTCTATACACCACCACAATGGATTTGAAATGAAACGAACAAGATGTGCTTTAGCTGCAAAGGATTTGCAACCAAGTATTAAAAAGTGAAAGTTTGATTTATGATTATTATTCTGTCCCATTACTTTTGGTCCCTTAAGAAGTGGGAGGCACATATGCAAACTGTTGTAATTCCTACACCGTTCACCTGATTTGGATGTAAATACCCTTAAATTAAAGCTGACAATCTGCAGTTAAAGCACATCTTGTTCGTTTCATTTCAAATCTATTGTGGTGGTGTATAGAGCCAAAAATGTTAGAATTGTGTCGATGTCCCAATATTTATGGACCTGACTGTATATATATATATGTGTGTCTATATATATATATATATATATATATGTGTGTGTGTGTGTGTGTGTGTGTGTGTGTGTGTGTCACATGTACAAGGACGTACATGACTTGAAAGCTGTTAAATGATTATATACCTTTACAATAAACACTTCAATTCCCTTGAAGTCTGGCAGTACGTGGTGGCAGGTCTCATTTGCATGGCAGTTGCTTCCGATTTCCTGTGACTTTTCTGTTTGACTGTTAGCTATGCAGACGCTCATCAGTCTATAAATAGTTCCCCTACCAACTTCATTTCCAACCCGCTTGTCATTGTTTATTTACTGCTTGTTAAATCTCATGCTGGTTTCCTTTACATTAGTAAATCATAGAAATGGCCATTAAAGTGCGTTGTGCGCACACGCCAGCTTCTGATCAGCGAGGCTTGATAATTGCCAGGACATGCGGTGCTAATTCTTGACCTTGCTCATGAATGCGCGGTGTGCTGTCTATGAATGGCTGTTGTATACACTGTGCTGGGTCAGGAGAGCCATTACCCAGCTCCGCATCCCGCAAAGTGCACACACATTACCTATCTACATGGATCTATTGTGTCTTTCCTTTTTTCCTATATTTTATACTTATTTTGCTGTGGTTAAAAATACTTTTTGCCCAGCACTTCCCTTGCCAGGAATCAGTCTTGTGTTATTTTATATTAGTGATGAGCCTACAGTAACCCCAAAAGCCTACCTGTGACTTGAAGATGTGTGAGTTTATTATAGGTGCTGCAAACCGCGATAAATTGGGTAGTGTTTAGAATTATTGCAAAATAATAATAGGAACTGCTGAAAACCAGGCAACAAAAATCCAGATATAGCCTAATTATATATAAGCAGGGCAGGAACGCTGGGGGGGAACGCAGTTCTGGCACCTCCAGCACTGAGTGTATGTAATGGCAAGGGGGGTGATGTGTGCTGGAGAGTCTGTTGATGCTGGCTGCTGGGGGATCTATTGTCACTGGTCGGTATGTTTTTTGTGTGAGGGTCTATTGCTGCTGGTGGGGATCTATTGAGGTTACTGGCTGTTAGAAGGCCTATTGATACTGGCTGCTGGGAGATCTGTTGTTGCTGTTGGGGAGTTTATTGTTCCTGGGGTGGTATTTTGTTGTTGTTGGTCCATTGTTACTTTGTGAGGGGCCTATTGTTGCTGGGGGATCTATTGTCACTGGTGGGGAAGTTTATCGAGGGTCTATTGTTGCTGGTGGGGATCTATTGAGGTTGCTGGCTGTTAGAAGGCCTATTGATACTGGCTGCTGGGAGATCTGTTGTTGCTGTTGGGGGGGTTTATTGTTCCTGGGATGGTATTTTGTTGTTGGTGGTCCATTGTTACTGTGTGAGGAGCCTATTGTTGCTGGGGGGATCTATTGTCACTGGTGGAAATGATTTTATGTGAGGGTCTATTGTTTCTGGTGGGGATCTATTGAGGTTGCTGGCTGTTAGAATGCCTATTGTTACTGGCTTCTGGGAGATCTGTTGTTGCTGTTGGGGGGGTTTGTTGTTCCTGGGGTAGTATTTTGTTGTTGGTGGTCCATTGTTACAGTGTGAGGGGCCTATTGTTGCTGGGGGGATCTATTGTCACTGGTGAGGATGATTTTGTGTGAGGGTCTATTGTTGCTGGTGGGGATCTATTGAGGTTGCTAGCTACTACATGGTCTATTGATACTGGCTGCTGGGAGATCTGTTGTTGCTGTTGGGGGGGTCTTTTATTCCTTGGGCGGTATTTTGTTGTGGGTGATCCATTGTTACTGTGTGAGGGGTCTATTGTTGTGCGGGAGATCTATTGTTGCCTGGGGGATCTATTGTTGCTGGCTGCAGGGGAATATCATTTACTTCTTTTCTTGTTGTCATTAACAAATTCCATACAAATGATTTAGCACCACAAAATGATACTTGGTTCTGTATTCTCTTAAAGGGGCGGTACTGCGAGGTGGGTAGGGGGCGGATCCAAGGGACGGTGCTCAGAGGAAGGGGGGCGGTGACAATGGGCGACTCAGAATCAGGGAGTTTCTACACCTATTCTCTGAGAAAAAAAAGCCCTGCACATGAGAGCTGATTTTGCTGCCGGCAGGTTTACAGTTCTGTTTTTACAATAGTTTTAATATATAGAGTAAGCACACCACATGGCCAGACTGCTTTAGCAATTACTTTCAAAATATTATGAATAGCGCCAAAAATTAAAAAATAATAATAAAAATAAAATATATAGCTGCAGAACCTAACCAAAAACGGTGCATATAACAGTGAGAAAACAGGTTTGCGTTTATATAATCCAAAAAATTGTAATACCATCCACAATACTAAATGTATAAATGATTCATAGTGTCCAGAATATTGTGAAACATAAATATGAGCAATATGTGTCAAATAAAGTCCAAACTCCAGTGACAAATGATCCTTTTCTGTTTTGTGTCTTTAAATAATTTCCAACTCAAAATTCCAGTGTTCAAATGATTTCACCGTGATAAAATCCATCACCAAATAAATTAAATGAACTCACTAGAGCTATGTGCTGATTAAATTATAAAGCAGCATTAGCGCTTTCTGCTCTGGGAGCAATACTCTGCAGGAAAATCATCAGCAATATGGTCTGGGAGCAATACTCTGCAGGAGGGTACTCAGCGAATATGGGATATCACTTTGTGGTCACCGCCTCTTCATTAATCATAGCAGTACTCGGGAATCAAGAGAAGAAAGCTCATGGTGCAGTATATTAAAACACTTTAATTGAAAACAAACTATATCATTGCACTCACAAACAAGGTGTCCCAGCTGACACCAGCAAAAACAGCGTGTTCAGTATAAAAGACGAACCCAGCCTGCTCCGGCATACACAGACACCGACAGTCTCGGGAACGTCGTGACGTCACACCCACAGACTCCGCCCTACGCGTTTCGTCGCCAGACGTCCTCACGGAGCGGATCACGCTGTTTTTGCTGGTGTCGGCTGGGACACCTTGTTTGTGAGTGCAATGATTTAGTTTGTTCTAAATAAAAGTGTTTTAATGATACTACACCATGAGCTTTCTTCTCTTGATTCCCAAGTACTGCTATGATTAATGAAGAGGCGGTGACCACAAAGTGATATCCCATATTCGCTGAGTACCCTCCTGCAGAGTATTGCTCCCAGACCATATTGCTGATGATTTTCCTGCAGAGTATTGCTCCCAGAGCAGAAAGCGCTAATGCTGGTTTACAGTCAGGACCATAAATATTGGGACATCGACACAATTCTAACATTTTTGGCTCTATACACCACCACAATGGATTTGAAATGAAACGAACAAAGGATTGTCAAATCCAAGCATACCCCTAGAGCACGGATTTCATGCCAGATCTATGGAAAACTTGGAAAACTGAAGCTGATTGTTTACCATGCACAGTTGCACCAGATGCCAACTAAAGGCCGATTGGTTTCTAAGCAGATTTGCACCAGTTTTTTTTTCACTTTCCCACTTTAGTAAATAACCCTCAAAATGTTTATTGTTTTACCTGCCAAAGGATTTTAGCAATACTTCCATACACGACCTCTGACAATCACAGCAATCACTCCGCTACTTGTTGGGTCCTTTCCTTCTCCCTGTACAACAGAGGTGATAACGCCAATTCACCGTCTAATGAGATGAAAGATGAATTCTGGGATAAGCAAATATTGTCTAGCTACGAAAGATGCGTTTGTATTTTTACTGCTATGACTTGTATTATATTAAGCCTTGGTTCACATTAGCATGACATAAAAGTGGCTGCGACTTCCCGGTGATTTAGCTGTACCACTTCCCAGTGACTTTACTGATAAAAAGCATTCCTTTCCGACTCTGATGGATCGTTCTGTGCGTCCAGAAATGCGTAGATGAGAACGAATGGTAACACAAGCGCAATGTGCATTGTCACGCATTTTTGAAACACACAGTAAAGCGTGAGTTGCCGTGCGTTCAGAAAGTTAACAAATGCTAACAAAAGTGTGAATGGGATATAGATATATATAGATATATACAGACAGGTCCATAAATATTGGGACATCGACACAATTCTAACATTTTTGGCTCTGTTGTAATTCCTACACCGTTCACCTGATTTGGATGTAAATACCCTGAAATTTAAAGCTGACAGTCTGCAGTTAAAGCACATCTTGTTCGTTTCATTTCAAATCCATTGTGGTGGTGTATAGAGCCAAAAATGTTAGAATTGTGTCGATGTCCTAATATTTATGGACCTGACTGTATAATTTAATCAGCACATAGCTCTGGTGAGTTCATTTAATTTATTTGGTGATGGATTTTGTCACGGTGAAATCATTTGAACACTGGAATTTTGAGTTGGAAATTATTTAAAGACACAAAACAGAAAAGGATCATTTGTCACTGGTGTTTGGACTTTATTTGACACATATTACTCATATTTATGTTTCACAATATTTTGGACACTATGAATCATTTATACATTTAGTATTGTGGATGGTATTACAATTTTTTGGATTATATTAGTGCAAACCTGTTTTCTCACTGCTTTAGCAATTAGTTTATATAAGACCTATACAGGGGTTGAACAAAAAAAATGAAAACATTACATGATTTGTAGGTGTGAAAGTGGCAACATGTTTCACGTTGAAAGCAGACGTGATGTAACATTCTATTGCTTCCGCTGTGTGATGAGACACCAAGCTAACAGGTGGAAGCCTCACTTTTGTCATTCTCTGAGTGCGCTGCTAGTAGTACGGAGTCATATCAGAGCTTACTGAGCTTCAGCCCTGGTTCACACTGATGTGGTGCAGAATTTGCAGCGTTTTCTGTGCGAATTCCGCACCGCATCAGAATCGCACCCCGTTCATCCGAATCGCTGCGGTGTGTATGCTAATTTAACAACACCCCGAAAGCAGTCCACAAAATGCGGTGCGATGTGCAGAATCGGATCGCATAGGTGTGAATGAATACTCATGCGATCTGATTCTAGTGCAAATGCAAAAAAAGGGTCCTGCAACTTTTTGGTGCGGGTGCAGTGCGATTAGAGCCATACATAATGTATGGCACGGCTCGCTCCAAGCACAAAGACTGGGGTGTCAGTGACAGCCCTGGGTCTCATTCTAATCATTGGGACCTGGAACTCTTGATTCCGTGTCATATAATTGCTGTGAAAGCCTCTGACTGGATATCACAGTGATCAGTCACTGTGAAGCCCACCCCCTTTGTTTTCTCTGAATGGAGGAGAGAGATACATTGTATTTCTCTCTGTCCTTTCAGAGAGAAAAAAAAGTGTTTGTAAAAATAAATAAATAAAAATAAAAAAATATAAAACTACCTAGAACAAGGTTTAATCCAGGTCAGTGCCAGGGTTAGTGTTTGGGTCATAGTCAAGGGTCAGGGTCAGTATTTTTATTTTTTTTTCTTCAGGATTTAAAAAAAAAAAAAAAATTTAATTAGTATCAGTGCCAGTTAGTGGCAGAATAAAAAAAAACCAAAAAAAACAAAAACAAAATGCGCACTATTGTTTCTGGGCCGTACTATGGGTACAAACAACAACTGACATACACATATGTGGTATCGCTGCGATTATCTGGAGCAGGAGAAATTATTTTGGGTTGTTCTATGGTGGTTGGTTATGGTAGTAGCAAAAAATATACAAGTAAATTTAAAAAATTGCTTTTTTTTTTTACTATTTTGGGTCAGTTTTCCTTTGATAATAAAAAAAAATTCAGAAGATATCCCCTGCAGGCTGAAGACCAAGAACTGAGCAATCAGTGGTGTTTCATCACTCAGTTCTCGGTCTTGGAGGTGGCGGGGGACGGATGCAGCTGGAATCGGTGCTGCAACCATCTAGGTGAGGACCAATATCCTGCTCTTTATTTCTTCTTTCCATTTCTTTTATCTAGTACCTTTTTTGAGTAGGACCAATATCCTAGTGGTGTAAAGGCAGCCATAGATGGATCGAAATTGAGCCGGTTCAGCAGAGACCAGCTGAATTTTGATCCATATATGGCTGCTCCTCCATAACAGAAGTTAAAGTGATACTAAATTCTTGTTTTTTTTTTTAATAACAAACATGTCATACTTACCTGCTGTGTGCAGTGGTTTTGCACAGAGCAGCCCTGATCCTCCTCTTCTCTAGCGCTCCAGGCCCCTCCCTCCTGTTGGATGCCCCCAAAGCAAGCAGCTTGCTATGGGGGCACTCGAGCAGAAGTGCTCCCAAGCCCCTCCTCCCTCTCCTGACTGGGTAACTGGCTGCGATTGACAGCAGTGGGAGCCAATGCCTCAGCCAAACAGGAGTGAGAATCCCCGGAGAACCGAGACTCTTGTGGACATCGCTGGATTGGGATGCGGCTCAGGTAAGTGTTAGGGGGTCTGGGGGGGGGGGGGGGGGTAGCTGCACACAGAAGATTTTTTACCTTCATAGAATGCATGAACCTTGAGCCTTTAGAACCACTTTAATCCAATAATTGACTTCTGTTGAACAGGCTCGTTGGAAAATTTTATATTTTCTGTTGCAGCAATGAGGGGGGGCCCACACACCATACATATGCGTCCATGGACGGCTGAGGTTTCTGGGCTGAGCTGTCAGACAGCTCCTGGACTCTAGCAATCATTGGGAGCCCGGGGGGAATGGGCTCCTGACTATGTGACTACTGTAAAAGCTAACCAGAGTAGTCATGGGATGGAGCAGCCCATCCTTTCCTTGGGGCATAAGGACCCAGCTAAAGGGACACTGTGGCAGCACTGGAGGGGGTTAATGAATACATAGCTGCATTCATTAGTGTTTTTTTTCTTCATCTTTTACTATACAGTTCTGTAAGATTTCTATTATTCCCAGTCCCGGGAGCACTTGGTGACTGGCAGGAACATGTTCAAGGAGCTCCCTTTTGTTGCTTGTGCTTAGCTGAACTTCTGGGCGATGTGCATAGAAATGTGTTCAACTTTCTATGACACCATCACAGTGATGTAATCTCCATGTTTCAGCTGACTATTAATCATGACTTCTTCTTCTTCCAGGAAGATTACGATCGGCTGAGGCCGTTATCTTATCCCATGACAGACGTTTTCCTCATCTGCTTCTCTGTGGTGAATCCGGCCTCCTTCCAGAACGTGAAGGAAGAATGGGTTCCGGAGTTAAAGGAATATGCACCGAACGTACCTTTCCTGCTAGTGGGAACCCAGGTAGAGTGTTGAAATGGGAACTCCAAAACTTTTCTGTACTTTCTAATGACAGAGCTTTTTAACCCGTTAGAAAATTCCATTTTGGAAGGTTGAAGATCTGATAATATGCAGATCAAATCAACTTCCCTAACCAAACGCCTAGAACAATTTGTCAAAGTGATACTAAACCCAGGACCCTGCACTCACTATATCTGGTCTCCCTGGATTCACTATATCCGGTCTCCCCGGATCCTGCATTCACTGTATCCGGTCTCCCCGGACCCTGCATTCACTGTATCCGGTCTCCCAGGACCCTGCATTCACTATATCCGGTCTCCCAGGACCCTGCATTCACTATATCCGGTCTCCCTGGACCCTGCATTCACTATATCTGGTATCCCCGGACCCTGCATTCACTATATCTGGTCTCCCCGGACCCTGCATTCACTATGTCTGGTCTCCCCGGACCCTGCATTCACTATATCTGGTATCCCCGGACCCTGCATTCACTATATCTGGTATCCTCGGACCCTGCATTCACTATATCTGGTCTCCCAGGACCCTGCATTCACTATATCTGGTCTCCCCGGACCCTGCATTCACTATATCTGGTATCCACGGACCCTGCATTCACTATATCTGGTATCCCCGGACCCTGCATTCACTATATCTGGTCTCCCCGGACCCTGCATTCACTATATCCGCTCTCCCCGGACCCTGCACTCACTATATCCGGTCTCCCCGGACCCTGCATTCACTATATCTGGTATCCCCAGACCCTGCATTCACTATATCTGGTCTCCCCGGACCCTGCATTCACTATATCTGGTCTCCCCGGACCCTGCAGTCGCTATATCTGGTCTCCCACAGTACACACAACATGGAAATGCAATTATTTTAGTAAATGTAAACTGCTAAATACCTTTTCTCATCAGCAGTATATAGCAGTCTTGTGACATCTGTCAGTGTCCAGCAGAGCACATGGTAAAGTTTGCAGGAGGAGTTTTCTTTCTGTTGTAGAGAGATGCAAAAACCATGACCTCTGTCTGGACAGTGCTGATTGGCCCTGTGCTGATCACATGCACTCTCCCAAGAAAAAAAAAAATCTCTCTTAACAGTACACACCAAACTGAGCATGTGCAGAGTGACTGCACATGGTATGTCTTATCAGGGGATAAGAGGGAGGCACTGGAAGAAGGGGAGGATCAGAGAAGTCAGGATCAAATAGTATTTTTACACAATGTGGATGATTAACCCCTTAGGCTCCACAGTGAGTATAACAAGCATGCTTTACTGCATATACAGACTGTTTTTACTGTTGTGGGTTTAGTAACACTTTAGGATACACACCTTGTTTTAAGATTAGTGGCTGTCAGTAGGAGCCATGCTGTGTCTGTGCCTGTCCCTGCCACTGCAACATTAGCGATGCATTAAAGGTTAAGTCCACCTTTTCCAAAAATAAATAAATAATAAATGCATCCACATTTGCCCCACTGGCACCTGGCGATCGCCGAGAAAAACTGACAGGGTCGAGACCTGTGTGTAAACAACACAGGTCTCTCTCCTGTCAGCAAGGACATGCTGCTGTGTATTTCTCTGCACAGCAGAGAAATACACAGCAGCATGTTTCCCTAGTAAAACACACACAGCACATGTAAAACAGAACACAGCACACAGCTAACCCTTTGATCACCCCAGATGTTAACCCCTTCCTGCCCAGTGTCAGTGCTTTTTATTAGCACTGATCACTGTATTAGTGTCACTGGGGATGTCAGTGGCAGTTAATTGGTTCCCCCCAGTGTCAGAATGCTCGCTGTAGTCCCACAATAAGTTGCTGATCGACGCCATTACTAGTAGGAAAAATATAAAAATACAAATGCCAGTATACGTATATACCGCCATTTGTAACCGCTATAACTTTCATGTAAACCAATTCATTTACATGTATTGGGATTTTTTTTTAGCAAAGACATGTCGCAGAATTCATTTTGGCCTAAATTTATGAAGAAATTAAAATTTTTTTACTGGATATGTTTTATAGCAAAAAGTCAAAAATATTGTTTTTTTTTTACAAAATTGTCAGTTTTTTTTTTGTTTATAGCACAAAAAATAAAAAATGCACAGGTGATCAAATACCACCAAAAGAAATCTCTATTTGTGGGAAGAAAATGACATAAATTTAATTTGGGTGCATCGTTGTATGACCGCGCAACTGTCAGTTAAAGTAACACAGCGCCATATCATGGGACTTCCCCCATCCTCTGGAACTCCCTACCCCAATCCATCAGACTGTCACCTACCCTCCTCACCTTCAGGCGCAGCCTGAAAACCCTCCTCTTCAGGGAAGACTACCCCAACCTCACCTAACACCCGACCTCACCTAACAACTAACCTCCTCCACTCCTCCCACCACTCCATTCCCCACAGCCATCTCCTCCTGTACCACCTTCCCCTCCCTCCTAGATTGTAAGCTCGAAAGAGCAGGGCCCTTGAACCCCTCGTGTATTGTATTGTTACTGTCTTGTCTCATGTTCTGTCCCCCTTGCTACTGTACAGCGCTGAGCATACCCTTTGGCGCTATATAAATACCGTATAATAATAATATCACAAAAAATGGCCTGGTGAAGGAGGGGAGGGGGGGTAAATCCTCTGGAGGGCAAGTAGTTAATTGCCTTGCACAACATTGCCCAAATATTATGTAACATAAAAAAAACGTAAACTACCGCTATTTTATTCTCCAGGGTCTGTGCTTTCAGAAAATATATAACCTTTGGGGGTTTAACTAATCTTCAGGCCTAAAATGATTTATTAAACGTGTGTGCAAAAAAATGCAAAAACATATCTGGCAGCAAAAGGGTTCAATGATTCCATCAGCCCGATGCTTTGCCTTAACCAGCTCAGAATCTGCCGGTTCTTACAATAAAAAGGCCTCTGTAACACAACCGCACTATAAACATCCAGTTTCAAAGTGTTCGTTGCAGTGTTTCAGTTGCAGTAAAGGTATCTGGGTCAGCTCATTTTATCTGACCGTGACGGAAAGTGTTCTGTGTTTTGGTTCTCATTAAATGTCTTATTAAAAGCGATTCTCCAAAGAGGGCACAAGGGCATAGTCTGCACCATCAGTCTGTGATACCGCATTCTCCTTCTTCTGTTTGCTTTTTTCTTGTTCCTGAATATGAAAAAGAGACCAAAAAAAATTTAATTTTATTTGAATGTTTTGCAGATCGACCTCCGAGATGATCCCAAGACTCTAGCAAAACTAAATGATGTGAAGGAAAAACCCATTACCAGCGAGCAGGGGCATAAGCTGGCGAAAGAGGTAAAGAGACGGACTGTTTTTGATTGCTATGTTTCCGCGCCGTGTGAGTGGAGTATTTTGAAGTTCCGGCTACATTCTATTTCAGATTTATTCATTGTTTTGTACTAGACAGGTGAGGTTGGTTTATGAAAGTCAAAGTGGAGCTGTTGGTCATTATGCATAGCAGCTTGCTTGATTCCAGGGCTGGATTTCCATCATTGGAACCTCTAGGCACACAACCTTCGGCACCTTAAAGTGTTACTAAACCCCGGACCCTGCATTCATTATATCTGGTCTCCCCGGACCCTGCATTCACTATATCTGGTCTCCCAGGACCCTGCACTCACTATATCTGGTCTCCCCGGACCCTGCATTCACTATATCTGGTCTCCCCGAACCCTGCATTCACTATATCTGGTCTCCAAGACCCTACATTCACTATATCTGGTCTCCCAGGACCCTGCATTCACTATATCTGGTCTCCTAGGACCCTGCATTCACTATATCTGGTCTCCCAGGACCCTGCATTCACTATATCTGGTCTCCCTGGACCCTGCATTCTCTATATCTGGTCTCCCAGGACCCTGCATTCACTATATCTGGTCTCCCTGGACCCTGCATTCTCTATATCTGGTCTCCCAGGACCCTGCATTCACTATTTCTGGTCTCCCAGGACCCTGCATTCATTATATCTGGTCTCCCCGGACCCTGCATTCACTATATCTGGTCTCCCAGGACCCTTAATTCACTATATCTGGTCTCCCAGGACCCTGCATCCACTATATCTGGTCTCCCAGGACCCTGCATTCATTATATCTGGTCTCCCCGGACCCTGCATTCACTATATCAGGTCTCCCAGGACCCTTAATTCACTATATCTGGTCTCCCAGGACCCTGCATCCACTATATCTGGTCTCCCCCGGACCCTGCATTCACTATATCAGGTCTCCCTGGACCCTGCACTCACTATATCTGGTCTCCCACAGTACACACAACATGGAAATGCATTTATTTTAGTAAATATAAACTGCTAAATACCTTTTCTCATCAGCAGTTAGTTAGAGCAGTCTTGTGACTTCTATCAGTGTCCAGCAGAGCACTGGGTAAAGCTTGTAGGAGGAGTTTTTTATTCCCCTATGATTGCCTTATTACTTCTGCATAACCCCTGACCCTCTGTGTGGACAGTGTTCATTGGCCCTGTGCTGATCACATGCACCCTCTCAAAGAACATTTCTCTGGACTTGACTATTATAACTCCCTCCTCATAGGCCTACCTCCTCGCAGCCTGTCCCTTCTCAGTTTATCATGAATGCTGCTGCCAGACTCATCTGCCTTACCAACCATTCAGTATCTGCCACCCGTCTCTTCCAGTCCTTCCACTGACTTCCCATTGCCCAATTAATAAACTTCAAAACATTCACAATAACATTCAAAGCCATTTACAACTCTGTCCTGAGCTACACCACCAATCTTGTCTCCAAATATCACCCAATTCATCCTCGCCCAAGACCTCCTGCTATCCAGCTCCCTTGTCTCCTTTTCCCATGCTCATCTCCAGGACTTCTCCTGAGCCTCTCCTATCCTCTGGAACTCTCTGCCCCAATCTGGCTATCTCCTACTCTGTCCACGTTTAGACGTCCCCTGAAAACTCATCTCTTCAGGGAAGTTTATCCTGCCTGCAGTAAATAACCAAATCGTATATTTTTCTCCCATACCTTCATCCATCGGTTATGACCTTGTTCCACCAGCCCCTCCCCATTAGATTATTATTATTATACAGGATTTATATAGCGTCAACAGTTTGCGCAGCACTTTACATTATAAGGGAGACAGTACAATTACAATACATTTCAGTACAGAAGGAATGTGAGGGCCCTGCTCGTGGAGCTTACACTCATTAGATTGTAAGCTCCCAGGATCAGGGCCCTAACCCTCATTTTGGATTTGTATTGTTGCTGTATTGTCTCTTTATATTGTAAAGCAAACTGTGGGCGTTATATAAATCCTGTATAATAATAATATTTTTTTAAAAAAATCCTAAACTAAATGCTTAAAATAGTCACCTAACTCTGAGGTCAGGTAATGCATTGGATCCTGCGTCTTCCATCTTTTTCCTTGCAGAAGAGGGTCCTTCTTCAGGTGTACATGCCACTGCTTCTGTACTGTGGACACTTCTATTGATGGAGTCCTCGCAGGACGACTGATCCATGTACAGAACAGAATGAATGGGGCCATGTATCGTGAGATTTTGAGTGCAAACCTCCTTCCATCAGCAAGGGCATTGAAGATGAAACATGGCTGGGTCTTCCAACATGACAATGATCCCAAACATACCGCCCGGGCAACGATGGAGTGGCTTCGTAAGAAGCATTTCAAGGTCCTGGAGTGGCCTAGCCAGTCTCCAGATCTCAACCCCATAGAAAACCTTTGGAGGGAGTTGAAAGTACGTGTTGCCCAGCGACAGCCCCAAAACATCACTGTTCTAGAGGAGATCTGCATGGAGGATGGGCCAACATACCAGCAACAGTGTGTGCCAACCTTGTGAAGACTTACAGGAAACGTTTGACCTCTGTCATTGCCAACAAAGGATATATAACAAAGTATTGAGATGAACTTTTCATATTGACCAAATACTTATTTTCCACCATAATTTGCAAATAAATTCTCTCCAAATCAGCCAATGTGATTGTCTGGATTTTTTTTCTCATTTTGTCTCTCGTAGTTGAGGTCTACCTATGATGCCAATTACAGGCCTCTCTCATCTTTTTAAGTGGGAGAACTTGCACAATTGGTGGCTGACTAAATACTTTTTTGCCCCACTGTATATGAAGGAAGTTACAGGTTTAAAATTGATGTAAACCGCTTATAGAGATTTGAATCAAGCTTTGTCTTGTCACAAACCCAAAAGGCCTGCTGGTGACTCGAGGGATTCTGTGTGCTGAGGATGACGCAAGTCATTGCAGACTGATCCAGGGATCTGATTGGTTGCTGTATTCGAGAGATTCCTCCACTGTTGTCCAAATGTTGGTAATCCAGCCTGCAAGTGTTTTCTGCATCTCTTTACCTTCTGTCCTGTGTAATTGTATTCTATGTACAGCCTCGAACAATCCGGACAGCAAGGATGAGAGCCAAAGCTTGCAATTTTCTTTTCTTGTCTACTGAACAGGAAGATAAATTGTGCTTCTGCAAAGTGGTCCCATTTCAAGGACGATGTATGTTCTCGTCATCTTTTCTGGGCAATTTAACTTTACTGCTCAAAAGATAGTTATCGTCTCTGAACTTCTGTCTGTGACAGGGGCCTTTCCTTCAAGTCTAGTGAGCAGAAATGAGCAGTTTTTTATAATGTTTGCTTTATTTGCACACGTAGAGTGTTTTTTTTATAATGAAATCCTTGAGCGGACATTTTTTTTTATTTTTTTTATTAACAATACCCAATCTTTTGTAAAAAGCTGACATGAGACCAATATAGGGCTGTCATTGCAGATCTCCTTCTGAACATGCTAGTTATGGTCACCCTCTGACCCCAAAACAGATATGCAGCCGGTGAAGTTACAGTGCAATCAGAATTCCTTACCAGCCTTGTTTTCCAGGTCGCTAAATAGAAGTGAGAGGGTCAGTGTGACTGCCAGGCAGCTAGCAATTTCAAGTACAACAATAGTAGCACTGATCTATCCTCTGTGCTAAGTTTCTCTTTGTGAAAATTTCCAGCAGGTCAGCAATATAAACCATCTGGCCATACAATACCCGCTTGTCCAAATCTTCAATCTTTTATTAGATGATGATGATGTGATTTGTTTCTATATCACAACAGCACTAAGCTGGCCCTACATGTTTAAAGTGGTTGTAAAGGCTCAAGGTGTTTTACCTTCATGCATTCTAATAAACCCAAGATCTTTCAATAAAGAGAACCTCTCACTGCCCATGCTATCACAGGGAATATTATGATGTTGTTCCTCCCTTGTGATAGCCATAAAAGTGAGCAAAAAAAAGTATAGAGAAAAAAAAAAAAATTAAACAAAACACAAAATTTAAAGCACCACCCCCCCTTTCTCACACACATGCATAGGTCCCTCACGCATATGTAATCAGTGTTTGCACTACAAGTGTGATATGGCCACAAACATTATAGGGAAAGCAATAATTCTGGTAACCTGTAAAGACTTTAAAAGCGTCACCTACAGAGATTGTTAAGTACCGTAGTTTGTCGCCATTCCATAGGTGGATGCAATTTTAAAGACGTTAGATATCTATTTACTCAGCGTAACATATTTTATCAAACAATTGGCTATTGTATTTTTGTGCATTAAAATTCATTAAAGTGTGTTTTTTTAAAAAAAGTTTACATTTGAAAAACCGCTGCGCAAATACTGTCTGACATAAAGAACTGCAACTTTCACCATTTTATTCTATAGGGCCTCTGCTTAAAAATATATATGTGTGTGGGGGTTCTAAGTAATGTTCTAGCAAAAAAATGCAGATAAATGTTTTGACCGATTCAGACTCTAAGCACCTATTTCTCCTGTTGACAGATCGGGGCATGCTGCTATGTTGAGTGTTCGGCTCTGACACAGAAAGGGTTGAAGGCCGTCTTTGATGAATCCATTATAGCTATTCTTACTCCAAAGAAAAACCCCATGAAGAAGAGATTAGGCTCGAGGTGTATAAACTGCTGTCTGATCACGTGAAGCAAGCACACGCCTCATGAAACATCACACATGGTACGAGTCCAACGCACACAGCGCCTGTACCGCAGCTGCACAAAAATATTTTATTGACCTGCTTTTGCAAACATGACGTTTGACGGCAACACGACGAGGACATGATTGTTCAGCGATGTTCTGAAAGATGCCATTTCTCAGGGTAATATTTCTACAGAGGTAACAAGTGTCTCTTATGGGGACAGAACTTGATAAGGTGGCCTGAGTTTCATTGCACAGAAGCTCTCATCATCCGCGCCCGTCCCTGCTATCTTCGTTTGTATGTCAGTTGTTTCCTGTTCCAGTAAATCCAGAATGGTGCCAAGAGGAGGCTGGCAACATAACCAAAACTGGCACCCAGAGAGCAAGAGATGGGCCACACCTAACGGAAGACACAGAACAAGTATGGTCACTAATTAGCACAATGATAGGCATGTCATACAGATGTAATGACTGTATCTACAGGATAGCTCTGTATCAATATCTTTTTTTTTTATCTTGCCACAGATGTAAAAAAAGATCCAAGTTATTATTGTGAACATGGAAAAATGCTTAAAGTATTATAGGTTTATTTTGTTCCCCTGTTTGATGCACTTATCTGCCTCCTGCATTATGTTTATACAGCAAGAGTGTTCATTAAATATACAATGCTTTATATATATAAAAAAAATATTGGCATACACATTTTCAGAAAGATATATAACTTTGATGCTAAGTTAACCGAGTCTAGAGTCCTGGGGAAGAGGACAGGAGTCAGAACCACTAGTCCCCAGCTGTTGTACAATGAAAATCTGCAGCACCATAATATGCTAGATTTGTCAGTTTAAAACTTTTACTTAGTATTCCTAAAGGGTTAATCGGGCCCAACATTGAAGATTCTCGTGAACAATAAATTATCTTATTTGATCTTTTTTAGAAAATGTTTTTTCAAGACTTGCCTAAATTGAACCTGTAGCCAGGTCATGCACATTTAAATTTTTCAAAATCCTTTACATGCAATAAATGAGCATTAAAACAAGTACTCACTGACCTCTGTAGCTGCAGGCACTGTGGAGCAATACATCCAAGAGGATGCAAGAGGATGAGCATCATTTTCTCAGAAACTCTGTCTGATCTCAGAGCACATGTTCTCTTTTTTTTTAACAATAGAGGTGAGAAGGCTGCTGAGTCAGTAATGAGAACAACTTAAAGAGGAACTCCACTCTTAGTATTTAAAAAAATTTTTGATCCTAAGAATTGTCCCTGTACAAAAGATACTTACCACTCCATGGAGTCCAGCATGGTCTTGCTTGTAGGTAAAGTTATCTTACACTGTTTTAAGCAACATTTGCAAATCCACCTCTTTATCATCTTCTCCTGGCCCAATTAAAACAATTTGTCTCAACCCAGACTTCCCTTCTATTAGCTGAAAGCTGGCTCCACAATAAAGCAATGGTGTACCCTTTCTTTGATCAGGTCAAATTACTGCCACACAAAAACCTTCCCTCTAGAAGGAAAGAACCCTCCACTCCCCCCTGAACTTATTTACTACTCTCACACTACCTACGCTCTCTGGACAGAGAGTTCTAGGTTTCTAGACCCTACACCTTTCGAGTCATTATGCTCCAGGAAGGCCTCCCAACACCACCCGATCTCTACAATGCACTCCCTGTTGTTTACAGACATCACTCCCAACGGCAGTACAGCCTGCCCGGCATGGGAAATGGACTTCTTTCCCTTTTGTTGGAGAACTGGGAATGAATTCACTTAAACATCCATAAAGGCTCAAAAAATGTCTCCACCCAAGAAAATGGCTTTAAAATCCAGGCTCCCTGGTATCGAACCCCCGCTCTCCTACACAAATTCCGCCTGGATCTTTCGGAGACCTGTTGGAGATGCCAGACTGACTGGGAGACTCTACTGCATATCTGTTGGTCGTGCCCCACACAACCAAACTTTTTGGTCTGAGGTACACCGCACCATCTCTCAGGTAACCACCTATAACTTAGATCACACCCCAGCTCAATTTCTCCTGCACCATTCCTCTCTTCCACAAAGTCTACTTCAAATCCCTAGCCATAGCCATGCATATGGTCAATGCTGTGAAGTTATGCATCCTGATCTACTGGGGTACCTCCCAACCCCCTAAATTAGACAAAATAGCTGAGATTGAGCAATTGATTTGCATAGCCCAAGATTCTCCTACAAAATTCTCAACTAAATGGGCCTGAACACCTTTTCAGATGACCGCAGAATCCTACTGCTTAACCGACCCTCTTAAACAGTCTCTCAGTGACTCAGTAAAGTTCTCCCTACACTGCTTCTCTCTGGTGCCACCATCTTGAATTCAAATCTGACACATACGCAGAAATGTTCTGGGCCATGCCAGTAAATTGTTTCTGCACGTGCGTGAGATCCTGCAAGCTGCCCCTTAGATGAGCGAGTTAAAAATCCCAGGAGGCAGTTCACAATGCCGTGATCATGTCCAGAAATGCTCCAAGGGATCCCACAGTGACTTGTGGCGTTCAGCTACGTCATTCTTGTCTATACAAGAATTACATATCTGAACTTTAAGGGGAAAAAAATTTGCATTAAAAATGTTTTTCTTGCAATTGTGTTATAGGGATGGGGAGGAGACAAGTGAAGGGAAAAAAAAACGAAGGTCCACTTTAAATAAGTTTAGCGCTTCTGTTGTGATCTTTTAATTGCTCCAGTGTCTGCAGCTACAGAGTTTCAAGGCTCAACTGTTACAAAAAAAACTTGAATCTTCATAACCCTTGCCACAGATTCACTTTAAGTATTAATATGCAAATTAAATTTGTTCTTCTTGAAAATATTTGTATGAAAGGCCTTCTACACTTGCTGAAATGGAATAAATGGCATGCATTTCGGATTTCCCCCCCTCAGCTCTTGGAGAAATGGGTGTAGTTGAGTAGCAAGGCCAACTTGCATTACACCAGTCTAACACAAACATTGGCTTCACTGCCTAGAATTGTCATTGGTTCTATGACGCCAGGTAGAGCCTTCTGCCCAGTGTGGCAACATTCTTACAGAGCTGTGAACTTTGTCCCATCATCCACTGTAGTTTCCTAACAAGGGATATAGATTTCAGCTAACCTTACTTCTTTGCACATATGTTTGTCAATGTTATGAGCAGCTTTAGGATTCATGGACAGTGTGATAACCCATAACCAAAGTCAAATGCATTATGCTGGTATTTTTGATTTGCCTTTTGCTTACTACAGAGTTGCATTTAGCTGCTTCTTTTACAATGATTTATATATGGAGAAAGTGCGGCCTAGATGCAAACAAAAGCCCTTACTCACCTGGTAACAGCTCTTTAACCGTATGTCCTATTTTTATATTGTAGACCAGCATCAAGCCATATGAAAAGCTCCAGCTTTTGTGAAACAATAACCCCCAAGATCCCCCAGTAGGTTCATTCCATCCTTTTAGTCTCTAGGCATGAAGCTTACAGGTCAAAAGTATTGTTTTGTTTGGAGGCCGGCATGTTGATCTGATATCTCTGTGTTGCATATCTGCATTTTATTTTGAGTTATCCTACCTTACACCTATATCATGCAGGCTATACAGTATGAGTAATACCATGGGGGACTTACCATTCCAGTTCACAACAGGTAAATACAGCAACTGACAATTTCACTTGTCATCATTTTTGTAAATTGATACATCAGTTTTGAGCAAACTAGCCTCTTGAGTATGGAATGGAAAATAAAATGTGCAGGTGGGAGTTATAAAAGCACAACAGTGCACAATTAGTTGTATAGTTTTGTCCATTCAGAGAGCACTATAAAGTGAGCAGACAAAACATTAGTATAGAACAGGGGTAGGCAACCTGAGAGCCGCAGGACTACAAGTTCCATCATGCCTCTGCAAGTCGTAGCTGTAACTGTCAGTTTTGTAATGTTGCAATGCCTCATGGGAAATGTAGTTCCACAACAGCAAGAGAGCCGCAGGTTGCCCACCCCTGGTATAGAAGATTCCTTTATTGAGTGGCCTTTAAAGTAGAATGTCACTCTCTCAATCAACATTGATTATTTTGAATCCTTGCTAGCACTGGTACATAGATAGGAAAGTGTATTATATTTACTTGTTTTCAACTTTTTTACATTTCTTTAGTTACTACCTAGTTTCCATGCCTAGGCATATGATGTCATGCATCACAGGAGTCTTCAGGAGGGGTGTCCTCAGCTAAGCGCACCCTCCTGCCTGCATGTCTGAGCTAAGGGCAGATGGATTCCAGGAAGTAATTGCTACATGAATCATCTGCCCTTACTCAATATGGCCATGGCCAGAAATGCTAGGTGGGTGTTTTTCTAAGTGATTTCTCAGCAAAATAAAAAAATAAAGCATGGAGACATAGATAGATAGGAGAGTTTGCTTTGAGTATTACAAATAAATTAAATAGTGCTTTTGGTTTGTGGTGCTCAGATACAGTGTAGTTCCGCTTTAAGCCGTTCAGCATGGACCGGCTGAGATTCTATCCCAACTATGGGCATGCTGACTGTACCCAAGTAGATCCGTCAATCCACTTGGGTACAACAACCAGCATGCCAAATTGCCGCTAGCAATAATCATTGTATTTTCCTGGTAGGTATGGCTGCTCATGCACCCCCCTCCACCGATTAAACACAATTGATGGGGGAATCAAGAGATTTCCTTTACTTGCAACTTTTGGTTGCAGGAAACAAAATTGCATAAGCTATGGCTTTCCTTACTTACCCAGTCACAAAGGTGGTGGCAGTGGAGCCCGTTGAGTCCTATGTAACAGGGCCTTTTTCTACAAATCAGCATGTTATGATACCTACCTGGTAGAAAACCAAGGGGGAGCATCATGTAGGAAATGGTTTCCAATAAAACTGTAAAATTTTGCATCCATCTCTAGGAGTAGATGCATCACCCGTTACAGTACACCTTGCTTATAATGCCCAAAGTAAAAGTCAAAATCATCCGGCACTCAACAAGCACCATCCTGCCCCGCTCCATGT